AGCAATATTTTTTTTATCTTTCGTAGGCCTATAATTGTTATCTTCTGCCTTCGACGTAATTCTATTTCAATAACATCGCGTGCCGGACAATGATAAAAAATGTGGATGACAGAAGCTATATATTTATCCCATAATTTTTTTATATAAACAAGCAAAAAAACATCATTGATGACAATTATAGAGAAACATATATCTGGTTGTATTTGATGTAAATGGAGAAACATAGAAAATAATTATATCTTCCAGTGCAATGAAAAGATTTTTTGTTTTAAGTTTTAAAATAAATCATCTTACGATTGGACGAACTAACACAGAGAGACAGGGGGGGGGTGATCTTTCACGCTTCAGGGAGCACGGGATCTACGTCTGGAATGTTCGACGTCTGCTACTGTAGGCGTGAAATCTGTAGGAGCGGAGATTGTTCTAGAACGTGAACTTCTGTTTTGAGGTGTCGGAGTATTGATGGACGGAGATGTGGGAGGGGGCAGACAGACGGAGGACGTCGATGCACGTCTGTGGTACACATCAATCGGATTTTCAATAGAATAGCAGGCGACAATATGTTTGAGACTATAGTGAACCAAGTTTTGAACTCATTCCCACCCTACCGCCTCTTTGCATTGTCTCTCAATGACTTGAGTCGGGTATTCATTTGAGCTGGGTCGACTCCGGCACGTCCATCCCGAAGAGACCTTCGAGACAACAACTGATAAAGTCAACTATGACAGAAGAAGAAAGTCAACTATGACAGAAGAAGTCAACTATGACAGAATAAGTAGGTCAACTATGACAGAAGAAAGTCAACTATGACAGAAGAAGTAAGTCAACTATGACAGAAGAAAGTCAACTATGACAGAAGAAAGTCAATTATGACAGAAGAAAAAAGTCAACTATGACAACAATAAGGAAAACAAAAACCATTTGACGCAACCTTGAGACGACGGCCAGGTTAAAAACTAAGGCATAAAAACAAGTTTCGTCATCAGACCAATCAGACAGATGCTTGCTACCAGTTAAACCAATCAGACAAGCCGTACTTGACAAGATCATCCCGACTAAGCCCGATCGTCCAGCGATGACTGTCAAACCAACGAATTTCAAAAAAAAAAAATTAAAATAAAAAAAACATAATATTTATTTTTTCTTAAATTTTATGTGTCTAAAAATAAGCACCGTGACCTTTATCTTCGACCTTGACCTTTGCTCGGCCTCCGCTTTAAAAGCGAAAGATGGCCAAGTTTCGTGACGGGGTGGAGCGACATCTATGTAATTTCACGAGCCGGCAGCGAGGATATTTTATTTGTAATAATGACCCGAGCTGATGGGGCCCTCTGTTATTTAATGAAGCTAAATACAGCATCCGCTAATTACAGATCTAGGATGACAGGAAACAACTGTAATTAGTGAGTGCGGGTTACGTAACAAAACAAAAGGTTACCTCTCTTTATGTTTAATTGTACAACGGGGAGAATAATTCGGTAGCGAATATAACAAGTTTGGTCAAATTATAATATAGTTTGCGTTCGATTTTCGCCGAGTTGATTGGAGCTATTGAAAGTCCAATGGCGTCGATACATGCAACAGGTCACGTGATTAAAGATTGTCAAGTCACGTGATAGAGGAATTTATCTTTTCAAAAGTAAACAGAGGATGGTAAGGGGGGAAGGTACACAACTGATGGTAAAAATATTTGACATCGTTTGACATTACGGACATATGACATCGTTGACGATATTTGAGATCGTTTGACATTACGGACATATGACATCGTTGACGATATTTGAGATCGTTTGACATTACGGACATATGACATCGTTGACGATATTTGAGATCGTTTGACATTACGGACATATGACATCGTTGACATTACGGACAATATTTGAGATCGTTTGATATTACGAACATTTGACATCATGTCACACTACGAACAGCACAAAACATCAGTTGACCTCACAAACTCAAACACCACCTATATAACATAACATCACGAAGAGCTGATGACATCACGTGCAGAAATACACACACCCGTGATTGTCACTACTGCACCCTCCGACACCATCACACAATAGAATCAACCACCAAACGACATTTCAAATAACTTAAATCAATCTCTCCCCCCCCCCCCCCCCCGTGTATACATTTGCACCAAACGAAGAAACACAAGCAGAAGTACAAAGTTATTGCCCCCCCCCCCTCTTCTTATTGAGCACCCCCTACCCTCGCCCCCTCCTCGACCTTAGTGACAGCTACTCTTTCAGAATCTCGTGGTGGGTTGGTCAGAACCACAACTGGGAGGGTGAGGATAGATGGTGAGCTATCATACACTCACCCCCAGCTCACCCCCTAATGTGATGTTTTTTCTTTCTCTCTAATGTGCTCTTCATACGGAGGGTGGGTGGTGTGCTATCAGACCCCCCCCCCCCCCCCAACCTGATGTTTTCCTCTCTCTGTGTTTTGACTGCCAGACATGAAACCAACACCGGGCTCGTCCTTCACGCGCTGATGACGTGTGAACGACAAAACTTAACAGGCAGGCGATGACGGACCAGTATCCACACTGACGTTGTACAGGGGGGGGTGGGGTCAGACACCCTCCCAGGACCTATCATCAACTCTGGTCACGTGTCTAAGGTCCGGACTTAAAAACATCGCAAGATACTCTAAATCCGGAGTCGCCGATAGACCTGGTTAAATTAGCGCTAAGCCCGGGGTAGAGCGCGTGACGCGATGTCCGCGGAATACGCAACGTCTCGTCTTGACATCATACATACGAGAACACTAACTACCGAGATATTTGATTAAAATTCTTACATCTGCTTCATTTAAATCTATCGTTGTTTTTTCTTTAGTTAAGAAGAGGGGACGGTAGGGTAAACAGAAAGGAAAAAAACAAAAAGACAAAGTTAGACGTAGAAAAAAAAGATGTCTTCTTGACTGTGGGGATTAAACATGGTCTGGTCTTGAGAAAGGGGAGACTAGTCTAAACAAGTGATCGCGGGTTGCATCAAAATCAGTTGATTAGTGGGGAACCTAGCGAACTTTGTGAGTGGTTGAGACGTTTTACTTTTATGCGAGTGTGGGGAAAGGGTGACACCAGAAGGGAAATGTTTCAGTGATCAAGGTTGTGTTCAGCGCCTTGTAAGCTATTTTGTGACGATTAAGATTTAGTTTAAAAAAGATTTTTGGAATTATACTGACGGAGTGTGAAGTTACTAGTACTGCAGTCTTGCAGTAAGGAAAGTATAAGTAACTGATATCCCTATGGTCATTCAGTCTCCGTGTGATGCAAACTACAGATATACTCTACTGCACCTGTATTAAGAGGTGAGTGGACTCAGGTTTTGAGTCCGGTAATCTATCACACCAACCTTACAGGTGGTAATCGTGAGCTCTACCACGTGACTATGATGGAATAACTGAGCTTAAAAACACTAACATAAATATGTACATACAGAGGAAATGGTTGCGTGTTATACAGTCTAATAGCCACACCACATAAGTATGTAAGTCTACATACAGAGAAAGCTGTGGGGTCTGATACATAGTCAAATAGACACACTACATACATATGTACACACAGAGAAAATGATATAGTCTAATAAACATACTACACCACATATGTACATACAGAGAAAGTTGTGGTGTCTCAAGAAACTCGGTTAGGGCCCAGCCAAGAATCGACCCCCCCCCCCCCCAGTCCCCGGGGACGCCAGGATCGTAAGATGTGATGAGCTCCGTTTTTTCTTGTACTTCCACTTCACGCGAGTCGGCTAATTACCGCGGTAATTGCACGCGCTTTCTCCCGCCTCCACTACGGTGTTAATCATTGCCGTGAGAGAGGGGAGGGGAGGAGAGGGAGGGGGGCGGTTTCAACATGAGGGTGAGCGGAGGATTGTGGGTGGAGGGTGCGAGACGGAGGGTTTTAAGTGGGGTGGGGGATCGAAGTTGGATCAACCAGATGTGGAAATACCGACCTTTTTTAAAAGTGTGGGTCGATTTGCCAGTAGCTAGTGTCAAGGTCACGAGTTGATACAGTGTCTATAACAGCAGTGGGAACAGCATACAATACACTAGTAGTGTTAGTGGCGATGGCTCATAGTAGATTTAGTAGGTCAAGGTGAAGGTGGCTGTAGTGTCAAGGTCAGTGATAAAATGTCAAGGTCATAGGTAGATAGACTATAGTGTCAAGGTCAGGACTAAAGCCACAATGTCAAGGTCAAACAAAGGGTGTCAAGACTCATCCATCTCTAGACATCACCGTGTCACCTAGGCGACCGTTTAAAAGGTTCGGTGACAGGTCTAAATCTATCAAGTGCGGCCTAACTACGGCCGCCGTGTGACGTACTGGGGCAAGCGGTGCAGGGGCGGGGGGTGGTGGGCTGGCAGTTAAATCACGTGACCCCGTGAGTTATGACAGTTGTCATGTCTTCAGACAACTGCCAACAGCAGGCCAGACAGCTGATCCGCTGCCCGTGGGGGTCAGAGTTGATGGTATCAGGGGCCGTGATAGATGGAGGTCTCGTGTAGGTCGCGCGGGGGGGGGGGGGGCGTACTGAGAACTGGGGTATGAGAAGTACATGATTGTATACTGGGATATGGGACGTACAGAGAAGCGAACTGGGATATGTGTAAATCGCCGTGGGGCCAACAGCGATCTATAATGGGATATGGGAGGAGTACAATGATGTGCATTTGGGATATCGGACCCACATGAAATTGTACTGGGGATAGAGGGAGAGCAGTCAAAATTAGGATACAGTAGCAGGTACTAGATGAATGGTTGATACGAGGGTATAAACAGATATAGAGGGTACCACAGGTTTATAGAGCGTTGTGCGATGTATGTTGTTATACGAAATACGGGTTGAACATACTGGGGTACGAGAAGTCATATGGTGTATGATGTGGGACATGATGAAGTTGACGGCCGATTGACATGTCAAGTTTGTGTGTTGAGGAGGTGGGACGTTGTGTGGTGGCACCAATTAAACTAGTCTTACCTTTTGTTTCTTGCACATGGCCGGCATCGGCTGCACCTCGTGGGTCATGTGACGCCCGTCCTTGGCGCACGAGCAGCAGACGGGCAGACGGCAGGACAGACAGTACATCCCAAGCGACTCGGAGGGGTGCTCGGCGCACTTGTGGTCCCGGCTGTTCCTCCTCTTAAACTTGAGGATCATCTCCCCCTGGGTGGGGTCCACCAGGTTGTGCTTGGCGTACATGCCCTCGGACGGGTGGCACTGGTCGCGGCAGATATCGCAGTAGAAGACCTCGCACTGCTCACACATGGCCGTGGCCGTGCGGTGGTCGGCCAGGCACCGCTCACATTTGATATCCACTTTCTTGCTCTGGTTTTGATACTTGTGAACGATGGCCTCCAAGACGCGGTTGGTGGGGAGGGACAGGGCGCCGTTTTCGTCCAGGAAGACCAGCCTCTCGCAGACTGTGCACTTGATGCCGTAGCTGCAGCTCTGCAGGCTCTGCAGGAAGATGTTGGCCACGCTGGGCGTGCCCACGTAGCTGCTGGGCCGGCTATTGCACACGACGCCGCTGTCCGTCTCGCTGACGATGCTGAGCTTGTCGATGTCCGGGAAGTCCATCAGGCTCAGGTGGTCGCTGATGACGGTGCCGCTGTCCGACTCAGAGCAGGCAGACGACATGGACTGCGGGAGCAGGTTCTGGGCCGGCTCCTGGCAGCTGAGAGCGCAGGCGACGCACAACGAATGGGCGCACGGCATGAGAACCGGCTTGGTAAAAAACCGGCAGCATACCGGACAACGCAGCTCGTCTTCCATGTTAAATGACGTCACACTATTGACATACACACATATAAAAATAACTTATTCCACACGTATAGACATCAGTTTTTTTTATTATTGAAGAAACATCAAGGAAATACGTTGTAATCCAGACTGAAGTAGTTTTATCCAGAAATGAAATACAAACAGTGCTAAGATATCCATACAACACAATAAGTCTGCTTTTGGTCCCTGCTATTTAGAATCTACAGCTTTGAAAAATTGGTCCACAGAAAAGTAAAATATCCGTTCTGTAAAACTCCACTAGCGTGTAGCCTGTGTCACCTTAATCTCCAGTAGCGTGTAGCTTAGTGTAGCCTCTACCTTGAAGAAAGAAAAATGATGTAAACAGCAGCAAGACATGAGTAAAACACACGTAGTACTCACGTTTGACAAACTCAGCATTTTAAGAAAACAACAAACCAACTTTCAACTTTAACCCTGGAGCCAAGATTAAGTCCAAAATAGATTGTCTAAAAGTGCCAAAAGATTTCATTTTAAACCAGAGTAGAAATAAAACTACGGGATAATATGCCGCTTAAATAGATAACCCAAAGACATGTTTAGTTTACCTTCAAATATAAACAAACAGGAAAAAATTTTCGCGGACGGACGCGAAGCGCAAATAATTTTCAGATATATTTTAAATATTACAAATATTCTCAGATATATTTTAAATAATTCTTCTAAATACCGTACTGACTGTAGACTGCGGTATTATATATTGATGCTTATAATATGCTTTCTTTAAATTAACGACGGTTTAAAAATTTTGTCTTCAAACTTTAATCATTTTCAATTTTTTTTTATAAAAATGAAAAACATTGAAGAAAATCTTGGATCTAGTTATTTCAAGATAAAGCGAAATGAATTTGCCAATCACAACATCAGATACATAAATAACACGCTTAAACTATCTGCTAGCCACGACGCTTTATGAAAACTAAATTCATAAACAAACTTAAGTGAGGTTTTAACACCACGAACTAGAATATCGATCGGTTTTTCCTACAAATCAATTCACACTTTTAAAAAACTAACAACATGTTTCTGCTGAGGCGAGCATTCAAATCTAACTTTATCTTAAACCCTGCACCAATATTTACAGAGGTAAAGGCGATCCACGGTTCAGTCTTATTATAAAGCGGTCAGCGCACGTAAGCAAGAACTGACCAGAATACCTTTGCTTTCAACTCAGAAAGCGGCGTCTTATTTTCTTTTTCTTTAAATCCACAAAAGAAAAAAAATGTAAATGTCTCCGAATAGTTTTTGTTGAAGAATGTTGAAAATGGAACGGTTTCACTGTGTTTTTATCCTGTGTGTCCGCACTAGTCGACACCGCGTACCACAACTTCGACGACTGAACGACCCAGCGTACACAGCCGCCTACATCAGCACTGGAGCCCCCGTCAGCCCTAACGCGAATCCGCCGATGGTAGTGGGGGAGCGGGCGACGAGGCGCAGTCCCCGGACATAGCGCGCGGCACGCGGGCTCCCCCCTCCGTCCCGAGTCCCCACCGCTTGTCGGTAGGTGAGAGGAAGGGGCGGGGCGAGGGTCTGTTTGCAAACAATTCCACGTGACCGCTACCCACGTGTACAGTACTTTCCTACCGAGGTTGGCGCGGTGCGTTGTTCAATTGATCCGTGTTTGGTTTGAAACGGTGTGCACCGTTGGTTAGTGGGTCGGACGGTGCGAATGACGTTCACCCTGACCTCAAATATGGCGACGAAGCGACAAATTATGTCAGAAACTTATTGACGTCATAGTCACTTCTGTGTTATGTACGCGTGTCACAGTAGCCAACCTGCTGTAGGTGTATGTGTACAGTGTATGTGTGTGTGGAGGTGGTATATGTGTCCGTTTGATCGAACTTTAAAGACGCAGTTTTACAACATAACCACACTATTTTTCATTATATGTATGTACATATTTATGTGCATTCCAATTTATAAAAACAACCTATAGGCCCTATATTTTAGCGAATGTTTCAAAATTAAGCGTGTTTACATACTAAACCCCCATACGAACAGACAATATTTTTAAAATATAATTTACTTTGATCTTACAACAGAAAATTATTATTTTTTAATTGCATCGTGCGTTTTTAATCTTTTATTTATTCTTTTGATCCTCTCAAACTTTCAATTGCTTAAAACATTTTTTTAATTTAAAAAAAATTCTTCTTCTTTTTTTTTAATGAGAAGAAGTCTAATGATGAGAAAATCACCATCATGTCGGTACGTCCAATAACAACAACAAAACAAAACACCAAGACGATAACCACCATCTTCATTAACCTCATGAAACTACGCCTACAGTATCTCCACAGAACCATCTTCGAAGGTTTCTAACAAAACAGCTACAAACAAACTGCTTTAATCATTATAATACATGTTATCGGGCCACAAAGAGCAGATAACTGTAATCAAGTTTCCCTTTTGTGTTTCGATGTGAACTTTAAAGCCAGTTTTATGTGCTTGGTTAAGTTATCTCCCTCTCTGGATTCTTGTAGTTTTAGCTCCACAACAAAATCAAACGCAAGGTTCGCTAAATTTAGATCGTTTTATAACTTGGTCGGCCTTGGCAGTCATCTTCATCGTCTGAAGTTGATAATGTTATCGTATGTAAGGAATTTCAGCGATTTTAACACAACAGGTGGTGCATGGGGCGGGAGGCTGATTATTGACCACATACGGAGGGCTGATGGTTTCTTGATGTTTGGGTGCCTGCAGAGATGGGCGTCACTCACGGCCGGTATAGTGTACTATTAAAGGTAGAATTATGTATTTTTTTTTATTTTTTTTTCCTGACGAAAATGAAAGTCGTAATGAAATGGTAAATAGAATTATGTATTCGCATTTGAAAATTCCCTAGTTTAATAGGGAGTCAAAATTTAATTTTCATTTGATTTTATCAGAGTAAACAAAGTTGTGCCGAAAAATTAATTATAACATATATTAATAAAACTATATTAAAGTGTTTATAATTTAACATTGATTAAAATATAAAAGTTGTTTTTTTTCAAAAGCAGTACAATTTGGAAAAGTATACACTTATTCTATTTTATACTTGTGTTTCAGTAATGGTGAAAAGATTATACCTTTTTGTTTTTGTTCAATCGCTTTCTCTTTAATTTTTGTTTGTATTTGCAGTTTCAAGATAGGTAGCGTCCCTTGACTTATAATTTTATTTTAATATTGATTAAATCCAAGTAAGATAATCCAATCCAATTATAGTTATACAAATAGGTAATCGTATTTACTACCTATGTGACCCCCCCCCTCCTACTAACTACACACCTTAATGTATTTTCATTCTGGTTGGGGGGGGGGGTGGTATGGAGGTGGGTAATATTCAAATTTTTAGATTTGTGATACATAAAAAATATTCATCAACTAAGGGAGAGAACTCGGAATATTTTCATTAAAACAAACCCCATTAAAATTCCGGTCACACGAACCTCCGCCTTTTTGCGAGAGGTCGCATCAAATACTTAGCAGGAAGAACTACTTTTGACAATATAATATTCCTCCGTCGCCAGTGAATTGCACATGGGAATGTAATGGGTGGGTTTTTTTTAATCTATTCAAGCAAGCACATGGGATAGGGTATACCCTGAGTAGAGGATGATAGCATCGCGAGGCAAGCATTGGACTGGAATCCCCAGGGGAAGAGGAGGGTAGGCTGGTCAAGGATATCCTAGAAAAGGACAGTAGAAGATGAGGCAAAGGCTGCCGGGTTTACGTTGGCACAAATAAAGAGAGCCGCTCAAAACAGAGTCCGCTGGAGAGGTGTGATCAGCCCCTTGCTCCCCAGGGGCTACAAAGATATACTGTAAGGCTTTTTAATACGGCGCAAGGTCTCAAAACATCTAGCATGGGGGGGGGGGGGGGGAGAGGGGGTGGAAGCTAACCCGCCTGGGTGATAAATTTAAGCCTAACTCGGACCATTCGAAATATCTGGGTTTAATTCAACTTTCTATTTTATTAAAGAAAAAACACACACGAGGAAATCGTTCTAAAACTCGCAAGTTAAAAAAAAATGAGATAAATTGAAAATATGTTAACCGTTTAAAATGTGAGCTCTTGTTGAATAAAAAAAACAAGCCGCTATCATAGAAGATGAAAGGAAGCGGGTGTGACTGGTGTACGTTCATATCTAGAGTTGAGAGTATTTCATAATGCTGGGCAGCTCACGAGAGAGTGAAAAAAAATAAGTAAAAGCGGGTCTTCAATCTTGTTTCGTTTCACAGCGTGATAGTTTTGTGTCTACCATCTGCGTCCTTCAATGTTATTTACGTATTTTTCAAGCAAGCCTGTAATGTGTCAATGTGATATCACTTTGTGAATGTGTGCATGTTTAGATAAACGGATGTATTTTTAGTTTTGTGGAGGATTAAAGCATGAAGGGAATAAACTTTTTTTTAGTTTAAAGAAGAAAGTTGGTTGGGGGAGGGGGGGGGGAAGGGACACACACTTTGTGACGACGCGTGACGCAATAGGGGGTAGCGAGATAATATTCGGCTGTTTTACGTGATCTAATTGATGGTCAAGTCTATCCTTAGATTTGCTTCCATTGGAAAAACGACTAGCTTTAGTTTGCTGGAACATTGACCACATGGAATGTACTTTACAGACGATTCACTCCCCCCTCCCCTACCTCTATGAAGACGAGCATATCCCTGGACTACACCCTAGCAGCTGGTTAAACAGATGTTGTTAATATATTCACACGTCTGCGTTTTATTAACTTTTTATAAGTTAAACGTTTCTGTGATGTTAAGATGGTACAGAATTCTCATGTTCAATTTAATGAAGGGGGTTAAAGGCCAGTGATTGGTCAGTCAAAGGTCAAGGTCACAGTTGCCCGGCTGTGTGTCCTCTCCAGCTGTCTTTCAAAATGTTTCCACCGACGGGATCTTTTGATGCTCTGGTCGCACCGTTTGCAGGGGTGAGCACGATATAAAAGGAACACGAGATATGTGAGCAGAGGTAACGAGGTTTAGATGGTGAGCACATGAGTGGGCTGCGAGATTTGTTTGCACTCACGCCCAGCGTGGTGCCTACTACATAACTAGCTCATAGGGATGGGGAGGGGTGATGATCAAGCTACTCATTCAAACCCGGTGTTGATGAAAAAAAAAATTCCAGCATCCAAAAAGTATGTCATCGTTTTTGATTTCGGTAAAACAGCCGGCGTTATGATACCGGGTGTCGGTATCAGAATCTTGTCTAGGGTTAGGATAAGGATAAGGATTAGGGTCAGGGCTGTGGTCGGGATTAATGTTCGGGATATGATTGGTTTTCTGTTTTGTTCAAGGTTAAAGGTCAGCGCCCGGATTAGGTAGGATTACTAGCATCGGAAAAGCCCCGTAAAAGAATCGTATCCGCAAATACCGTCATTTTACTAGTTTAATGAAATGTGTGTTTACAAAGTCCATTTTTATAAACTAAGGTCAGTTAATGGATTTTCTTCTGAACCATGTTGCCGCCATTAACAAAAGCCGTTAAAACTATTCACCGAATCGTGTAAACGGCTACAAATGTTGTCGCAACCGGGACTTGATCCAGGTGCCTTGCGGGTAATGAGCAGGTGTCGGGTCTCCGCTAATTGCCAGCATTAGCATCACCCCCCGGCCCAGGGCGCTCCTGGATCATGGCGTGAAGACTTGTTTCAGGGTGTGTTGTGTCAACACTACACCGGAACATACTTCAAGGGTGTTGTGTCGACTCGACACCGGAACCTGCTACAAGGGCACTGTATCAACAGGACACCGGAACAGCTGAAGAGGTCTTGTGTGTACCTGTGAATTATTAAGCCCGGCTGACCCAAGAACGATAACTCTCGCGTGTCAATACAAAATTTAGACGAACTTTTAAGTAAAGTGTATTACAAAGTATCCAAGTATTGGTTTCAGGTATTGACACGAATTACTTACTTGTTTTTAAGTATAATCTCCTCAGCGGGATAACTCTTAACACGTTGAACGTAAGGTCGTTCGATGGAAGTTAACAAGTCGTTAATCCATTAATTAGTAACACCTAGCAGGTGAGACCAGGTGTGAGGATTAGTGTTAAAAGGTAGTTGCCGGAATTAGTGGGTCTGCGCTGAGCGGCGTGTAAGTGAATAATTAGCACTCTCTTATGTAAATTTATTAAAACCAAATTGATTAGCTTTGTTGAGTTGAACTATCCAGTTGTGTTAAACCGGAGCTGGTGAAAAGAGTTAAAGCCGAGGTGGTGAGTTGAAGTAACCCGCGCTGATGAGCTGAGTTAAATCGGAGCTAGTAAATTGAGCTAAACCCGAACTGTTGCGCTGAGCTAAACCCACGCTGTTGAGATGAGCTAAACCCGAGCTGGTGAACTGAACTAAATCCGAGCTGGTGAGTTGTGTTAAACCGCAGCTGGTGAGCTAAGTTAAACTCGAACTGGTGAATTGAGTTAAACCCAAGCTGGTTAGCTGAGCTAAACCCTCGCTGGTGAGTTAAACCCAAGCTGGCGAACTGAGTTAAACCCACGCTGGCGAACTGAGTTAAACCCACGCTGGCGAACTGAGTTAAACCCACGCTGGCGAACTGAGTTAAACCCAAGCTGGCGAACTGAGTTAAACCCACGCTGGCGAACTGAGTTAAACCCAAGCTGGCGAACTGAGTTAAACCCAAGCTGGCGAACTGAGTTAAACCCAAGCTGGCGAACTGAGTTAAACCCAAGCTGGTGAGTTAAACCCACGCTGGCGAACTGAGTTAAACCCAAGCTGGTGAGTTAAACCCGAGCTGGCGAACTGAGTTAAACCCAAGCTGGTGAGTTAAACACAAGCTGGCGAACTGAGTTAAACCCAAGCTGGCGAACTGAGTTAAACCCAAGCTGGCGAACTGAGTTAAACCCACGCTGGCGAACTGAGTTAAACCCACGCTGGCGAACTGAGTTAAACCCAAGCTGGCGAACTGAGTTAAACCCAAGCTGGTGAGTTAAACCCGAGCTGGCGAACTGAGTTAAACCCACGCTGGTGAGCTAAGTTAAACCCAAGCTGGTGAACTGAGTTAAACCGAGCTGATGAACTGAGTTAAACCCGAGCTGGTGAGTTAAACCCGAGCTGGTGAGCTGAGTTAAACCGAGCTGATGAACTGAGTTAAACCCGAGCTGATGAACTGAGTTAAACCCGAGCTGGTGAGCTGAGCTAAACCTGAACTGGACTGGTGAGCTGAGCTAAACCTGAACTGATGAGCTGAGTTAAACCCGAGCTGATGAACTAAGTTCGCGAGAAGTTCCTACACGTCTGCTCCGTGAGTGTGGCAGACGGCATTGTTCAGTGGCGCCACCTGCTACAGAAGTACTGTAATTATTCTAAACAGGTTCAAACTATACCGAGAATACTTTCAAACTGATAACTGTAACGGCTATACTGGAAATCCACTAAGTACCGTATATCCTCTAAAAATGTTAGCTGTTACAGCTATACTTTAACGCCTCTGAAGACTGTATACCTTCTAAACCAACAACAGGATGCTTTTAGATTATTTCAGTTTAGGAACAATGTTTTTTTTTACTTTCTCGTATATACGTAGTATAGAGAAAGTATTGTAATCGTGCAAAAAAAAAATCGAGATTTTTACAAATCTCGACGTTTTGCACCTCACTGATACGGAAAAACATAATTTTGCAATCTTGTCCGTATGTCTGTGTGTGTGTCTGTGTGTCTGTGTGTCCGTGTGTAAACACGATAACTTGAGTACCGTTACTGCTAGGTTGATGAAATTTCATATATAAGTATTTTATCAAAATCGTAGATCCGTATCAACTTTTGAGCGATTTCCGATAACCGGAAGTGGTAATTTTTCTACTTTGAATTTTTCAAAAGCCTATAACTTGAGTACTATTTCAGATAGATAAATGAAATTTCACATGTAAGTAAAAGATCTAATTCTCTACCTTCTGTTAAATTTTGAGTAATTTCCGTTGACCGGAAGTAGTAATTTACGCTACTTCCGATTTCTCAAAAAACTAATGTAAATTTTAAAAGTACTAATAATATTGCGCACTATTATGCGCTTTTTTATTTCGCGTTCACTTGGTGTGCAATTAATTTGTCTACGAGATTTTATTCTATTTTTAAAACTTTAAGTATTTAAAATGGATTAAAAATCATGTCTATAGCCCGAGTTCCCATCCCCTGTTATTTTATATAAAAATATTCGAGAAAGTTTCGGGGAGATCACTCCCGGTTTTTTTATTGATGCTTTTATTACACATGTAATGTATTACTTTTTACTTTCTCGTATATACGAAGTATAGAGAAAGTATTGTAATCGTGCAAAAAAAAAAATCGAAATTTTTACAGATCTCGACGTTTTACACCTCACTGATACGGAAAAACATAATCTTGCAATCTTGTCCGTCTGTCTGTGTGTGTGTGTGTCTGTGTGTCTATGTGTCCGTGTGTAAACACGATAACTTGAGTACCGTTACAGCTAGGTTGATGAAATTTTATATATAAGTATTGTATCAAAATCGTAGATCCGTATCAACTTTTGAGCGATTTCCGATAACCGGAAGTGGTACTTTTCCTACTTTGAATTTTTCAAAAGCCTATAACTTGAGTACTATTTCAGATAGATAAATGAAATTTCACATGTAAGTAAAAGATCTAATTCTCTACCTTCTGTTAAATTTTGAGTAATTTCTGTTGACTGGAAGTAGTAATTTACGCTACTTCCGATTTCTCAAAAAACTAATGTAAATTTTAAAAGTACTAATAATATTGCGCACTATTATGCGCTTTTTTATTGGGCGTTCACTTGGTGTGCAATTAATTTGTCTACGAGATTTTATTCTATTTTTAAAACTTTAAGTATTTAAAATGGATTAAAAATCATGTCTATAGAACTTGTAAGTTTATCGTTCTTTCTCGCGTTAATTCGTGTCTGGTTAGCCAGGGAGAGATAAAAGTTTTCGAACTAAATCAATTGTTGTGAACGGGGTTTCCCATTGATAACAAAAAACATGGCGGCTATTTGTTAGTAGGTCCCGCTTCAAGATTTCAAAATCATCAAACGTTCCAGAAATGCAACAACTGTAAAAACTTTCAACGCTGTTTTTTTTCATATGGATGGGAACAAACACATGTGTATGCATTTTTGAATATAAAAGTTTTGTGGCGGTAAGTATATTGATTTTATTTCTTTTGTTGATAGTTTGTCCAAGGCTAGGGGACATTACTCTGACTCTACTCAGTCTTTGCTACGAGACTTAAGATTCCCAGACCTAGAGTCTAGACCTAGATCTAGATCTAGATTCTAGAATCTACCTACTAAGATCTACATTGCTTTAATCTAGTTCTAAGAGTATAAGTTCATGAATTAGAATATATTAGATCTAGATTCTAGATCTAGATCTAGTATTTTAGTGATCTAGATAAAATATTAAAAATATTAAGAAAAGGATGACGGTAAAAACTAAAACAACAGGAAAATGAGGATGACTTCCACTCACTTCCAGTCTCACTCAGCCTACGACTTACTTATTAATAATTAATCGAATCTAGAACTAGATCTAGATATTAGATCTAGATATCTAGAACTTAGACAACAATGTTAATGTTAATAGACCTAGATCTAGCTAGATTACTGAACTAGACTCTAGTACTGATTACTCAGTGATTACTGTTTAATATTTTAGTCTCAGAAGTAGGCCTATTATTATAGTTATTAGAAGTAGCTTGTAGATAGATGGCTTGATAGATAGTATTACAGTACTAGATCTAGATAGAGATAGTAGAATAGATCTAGATTCTAGTTGCAGATGGTAGTATGGTAGGCCCTAGATCTAAAATCTAGATCTAGAGAATCTAGATCTAGTAGATCTAGATAGATTCTAGATCTAGATTAGATCTAGTTTAGGTAAAACCTACCCTAGTTAAGTTTAGTAAGAGCTAGTAATGCCTAGTGCCTAGTAAGGCTAACCTGTTTTTAATTTTAAATTAATTTTTTTATATCTAGAATCTAGACTAGATCTAGATCTACTCACTCTAGCTATTTACTAGATCTAGATCAGTAGCCAGTAGAGTGATTAGAGTAGTAGTAGAGTGTAGTGTAGAGTACTGTAGACTATTGTAGAGTGTAGGTACTAATAACTAGACTGAAACTAAATTAGACTAGAATCTAGGTCTAGATACATTTAGGGCTTACAGACTTATCAGACTACAGTGTTGCAATGAGTAGATCTAGTAATATATAGATTAAATTTAGTTTGAAATTGTTACAGTAGTGCTACTACTTTTCTAAGTAGTAAGTAGTGTAGACTACTAGAAGAGCAAGATGATAGATCTCCATCAAGCTACAATAGAGTTTAGTTAGTAGTTAGTTAGTCATAGTAATAGTACCAAAAGCAGTGTAAGTAGCACAGTAAAAAAAAAGTATTACTAGGCCATCTATTATTGTATTAGGCCCTTTTATTTTTAGCAAGTTAAAGTTTGGTTAAGTACTAGTCTTCTAGCAAGTTGCCTAGTAGTAAACTTATAAACTAGATCATGTGTATTAGTACTATTAGACTTGTAGGCTAGTCTTGTTAGTCTAGACCAGGGACTATAAAATCTACAATTGATAACTTTCGGCCTTTTAGTATAAGCCTAATTATTAATGAATTACAGGGTACAAAAATTAATAAATTGGTCAGAGTCAGTATGGTTACAGTTAGCTGTTAATAGAATTAAGTTTTAGATCTATTGACTACAATTTTTAGTTACAAGTAATGAAAATGAAACTAATAGTTTTGTAATAGTTAAGATATGGTTAACTGTAAACCAGATATTTTAGTTTTTAAGACAAGCTAAGTTGATAGAAAAAAGGAACCTTTACAATAAATTAAACCTTTTATAAATATATATATATATATATATATATATATATATATATATATATATATATATATATATATATATATATATATATATATATATATATATATATATATATATATATATATATATATATATTAATATCTTATATTAGTTAAATAATTATTTTAATATAATATATGGATAAACTTAATAATTTATTATATTTACATTCCCTAGGTACTTGGCAAGCAATTTTCTCACACTTTACTGTGGCTATTGGTGCTGATCTTGAACTAAAGGTGAGCTGAATTTTTTTTTTATAATAAGCCATTTTTCAGCTTAAGCCCAAGTTTGAAATCGATTCAGTGTTCTAATTCTTAAAGAATATGTTGCTACTAAGATTATATACTGTAAGTATTAATATGTATGGCTTGATAGTGGGACTGTCAGACAGTAGCTTTCACATTTCTATCCTAAAAGATAAGAGTTCAGATCCCTGGTTTTAGTCCTGGTATGATGTCCCAAGTCTCATGAGTACCAGCTCTCATGAGTACCTGGCTCAAGATAGGGAAATTAAAGGTGGCTGGGTATATACCTCTGAACACTCTAATTTTACATGCAAATGTCACAGAAACAGGTGAATTTTAATTCAACTGCTATATTGGCTGTCTGTTTTAATCAATGATTAATTTTTTCATATTACAGAAAGTTGTTAAAAATATTATTTATTTAATTTCTAGGTAAATGGAACAGCATGGATGTGGATTTTTAGACACAAGGAAGCTGAATTTAACTTTTAATGAAGAATTTAAATGATGATTGTCCATGAAAAGAAATATTAATCATATACATTGTAATGCTGTATTGATGCATCTTCTGTTTTAAGTAATTAAAAAACCATCCATTTATGAAATTATTTTCATTTTTTGTTTCAATTTTAAAACTGTAGTTCTGTTTTGTTATTTGAAAACAATGATGAAAGTATACTGAACTGCCATTGAGATATTAATATAAATGCTATTGTTTATAGTTTAATTCTTTCAGAAGCAACTATATTGACATCAAAACTGAATCTTTATTGTACACTAAGTATAAAAGCTTACCCGCAAACCAGTCCATGTCAACAACTTATTGACATTCAAACATTAAATTTTTTTAAAGGTGATTTTTCTTAAATAAAACAGACTACTTTCATATGGGATAAGAAACATTTAATTTTGAAATTGATTGGTTTATTAAATTTTAATGGAGCTGAAACTAAAACACTGGGTACAAATTTATTATTACTTTGTTTCTCAGAAAATTGCAAATTTTGAACATAAGAACTGTGGGAAGTAGGCAATGATGTTAAAATATCTCTTGAAACTTGAAGAAATTGTGGAAGGTTTAGAGATAGAAAACAACATTTCAGAAGATGATGTTTGAAATAATGGTAAAATATCTTTAGCAATTGTCACTGAATAAATATTTTCATTAGACAAATCACATTTAGATATAGAAGAATAAGGTATGTCTTCAGATTTTCTTATCAGCGAAGATCCTGGGTGATTCTCTTTGTTACCATCGGTCAAACGACAAGCCAATTCTGGAAAATTCATTGGGTTCTTTGCCTGGGCAGCTAAATATATTTAAATTAAGTTCATGCAAGGCTTTAGAAACATCAATTGGATAAAACTCTATAATTTCATTAACTTTTTATTAATATCAGCTCCAAAGGAATAATATAAACAAGTTACACATCAAAAATAAATCAAATTTGCAGATATTTCCATTTCACCAAACTTTCTCTAAGTCATAATATATATTTTAAATTCATGGCATTTTGTTAGGCTAGATATGTTGACTTTTATTTATCACAATAATCTGATTATATAAATTAGGATTACCCAGCTATCATACATTCTTCTTTTTACTGCCCTCCTTTATGAGGGGGAGGTAAAAATCATCATAAAATGTGTGATGCAATTTACAGATGAACCCTCTCTCTCTCTACCCCTCCCCCTATATATATATATATATATATATATATATATATATATATATATATATATATGTATGTATATCTACATAATCTCTAAAATCATGTTGGTACCTCTACCTGTTTGAATATTAGGCCCATTTCCTTAAACTGTTTCTGTGTGGATCTTCTCCACCCCCTAAAATGACGTCACACAGTACTAGATTCTAGATCTAAATTACTACAGTTGCTTACACTCTAGATTTAGTTCTTAAGTTCTACAACAAGACTACACTAAACTTCGCTAGATCTAGAATAATCTAGATTCTATATATAAATTGATATTGAACATATTCTAGTCTACCTGTCTTAAAGTAAATAGCCTATTTAGTAATTTAGTAATTAATTCCACTCAACTACACTGTAAAATAAAAGAAACTAGATCTAGAATCTAGATCTCTAGACTACTCTTGAGTCTATAAATTAAAAATAAATCCTGTATGTCGTATGTTACTGTCTAAGTCGGAATTTTCAAGAGGGTTTTTTTTAAGTCATAGATCTAGATATAGAATTCTAGATCTAGAAATCTAGACTCTAGATCTAGGCTATATATATTTATTAATTAAATTAGGCTTGATTTCAGATTTACGATTGAAATCTTTTAGGCCTATAAATATCATATTTTATATAGATTATAGATGTATTATTATTATACAGGTTGTATTCTAGATCTATCTAGATCTATATAAAATATAATATATTTGTGTGTGTGTGTGTGTGTGTTATTTTAAACTTAATTTACTTAAAACAACTTATTGTCGGAGTTTTTTTATTCCAAAAACGAAAGTAAATTTCATAACTTAAAAAAATAAAATAAAAAATATTCACATTTGGTTTGAAAAAACAAAAAAAACGCCAGCTGGCAACTACCGGAGCGAGAACTTGGTAAGCTACTTTAACAACTTACAAGCCCAATAGCCCGAGTTCCCATCCCCTGTTATTTTATATAAGAATATTCGAGAAAGTTTAGGGGAGATCACTCCCGGTTTATTTTAATGTTAAAAAGATGTGTAACATCGGCATCAACGTAACACATGTACACGCCATCATTTTTTTTACAATCCGTAACCGCAGATATTTTAACTCAGCAACAATCTACAAATCTACGAATCCACTACATCACAGTGAATTTTGGACACACAAGTCTATAAAATCTGGCCAACACTAAACAAAACCACATAGTGGCCAGGTTGTACAGATTTAAACTCAACCACAACATTTTTCGTATCGTGAAGAAACGTCCCCTAATTAGCAATAAAAGAGTCTAGTTAAATGGTTGAGGACGATAAGCGAGAGGTACCACGTGATAGTGCCGGATAGACCGAGGGGGGATGTTGGTGATAGCTGGTGGGACTAGGCACAGTGGCTGCTGCTGATTGCCATTTCATTAGCTTTGGGTGACGCTGGGCAGATTAGGAGGCACCAACACGGAACTAAAGTTGGGGTAGGTCGAAGGCGTGGAATTAATTACGTTGTTGAAATTCTCGTAGGATGTAAAGTATGTGTGAGTGTGTGAGATTGGATGTGTGGAATGTGTGAGTGTGTGAGATTGGATATGTGGAATGAATGCCTCGTCTGGGTGTGGGAAAATGTGAGAATATGATAATTTACATAACAGAGAACTACAGTTGAGAAATTACTTACATCGCTGAAAGATCAAATATTGTAGTCTTTATAAAATACATGTTGTATAATGATACTCATGATTAGCCTGAAAGGTCTTTATAAAATACATTTTGTATGACAATACTTGAGTTTAGACAGAAAAGCCGTGGTTAGGCTTAAAACTGGGGTCAATGTGAGTACAAGAGTCATGAGTTAGGTTTTGACTTCTGCTTGTTTATCCCGTAGTCCAGCTGGACAGTTGGGACGCCACTAGTGTCCTTTCTATCACATTTCTCTAGTCCTCAATTCCTCTGGTCCTCTCTGTCCTCCGCCATCCTCAGTACCTCTCCCAATGTGAAACCTTCCTCTCCCGGGTGTCTTCATATCGTTCGTGTGACTGCCACTGTTCGATGTAGAACAGTTCTCTCTAGTCTTGACTGCCATTGTTCGATGTAGGACAGTTCTCGCTAGTCCTGACTGCCACTGTTCGATGAGGAACAGTTCTCTCTAGTCTTGACTGCCATTGTTCGATGTAGGACAGTTCTCGCTAGTCCTGACTGCCACTGTTCGATGTAGGACAGTTCTCGCTAGTCCTGACTGCCATTGTCAGAAAGACATTACAAGTACCAGTGGACATTTAAGTCTAGTCAAGTATTTCGTCCTTTGAAATACTGTCTTTGTATAAGATACCCTAGCAACTTTTTTAATTAGAGAGCTTTTATTTGAATTGCTTGAATGTTGTTCTTTGGTTCATCTGTCTGTAGGATTCACAAGCCTATTGAAGTATGGCCCTGGCTAAACTTTGGTGGTTTCTTTTTTATTATTATTAATTTTTAAAAGGCAGGTTCCTGTGTTAGTAACGTAAACAAAGAAATTACTCTTTGAATAGATTATTGTTGCTCATTAAAAATTGATGAAATAACGCTTGTGTCTCCGATTGTTAAAGAACACAAAGATTGCTATCAGTTGTTTTGCTCAGCGACAGCCGGGCACGAACCTGCGACTCCCAGCTCCACAGTCCGACGTGCTATCGATTGGGCCAATATTTTATTCTAATTCATTTCTTCAATGCCATTATCGTGCACACACGGATACAATTTTAATTATTTACGCCGATGTCATCTTCTCTGTACCCACCAAAGCAGGTATGGTTTTAGGGTGTGTGTGTGTTTGTGTGTATATGTGTGTGTGTTTGTGTGTATATGTGGCTGTGTGTGGCTGTGTGTGTATATATGTGTGTGTGTATATGTGGCTGTGTGTGGCTGTGTGTGTATATGTGTGTGTGTGTGTGTGTGTTTGCTGTTCCTTTATCGGGTAACACGGAGCCACTAAATATCACAACTAGCTGGCTCTCAAGACAATCAATACTTTCTTTTGTTATTGATCAGTAGAGGGTTAGGGCTAGAGCTAGTTATCAGTTGATGGTCCTCGTGCCATGACTTTGAGACTAAGGCTAGGGTTATAGTTATAAAGTAAGAACTAGCGAGAGCCGTAAGTGTTCAATTGTCGATTGAGAAGGAAGCGCGTTAGCCACCTGGGTACCCTATACCGCCATGATCCATTGAAAATAGAAATAGAAAGCAAAAGGTTAATAAAAATCAACTCTAATCTGAGCCTGTCCGCTTATCACTCGTGTTTTTTTTCTCATTGTTTCTCAACAGACGTTCAGAGTAGAGTGACAAACAAAGCTAATATCAACAATGATTCACAAGCTACAAGCAGCTCACTAGTTGCCCCTCCCCGGGAATGTCAGGACTGGGGCTTTTATCGGAGAGCGCCTCGATAAATCATCAAAATTTTATAGTGACTTTCTTTATGTCAACAATCGGAATAACGGGTTTTCCCGGAGCAGCCGCGGCAAATATCATGGGCTGGATGCGATAACAAAACAGAAACGAGCGCTCACATCGGGAATTTCCAATGTTCGTGTTATTAGCTTGATTTACTGCAATACGTTTCGGTATGAAGGGCAGGGAGGGTGGGGGGATGCCAGGAAATACGTCACAACTGTGGCCGTGCTATGGGGTGGATTGCCGGAAAGGATGGAGGGTTTGGGGGTGGGGGGGGGGGGGGTCTTTGTGTCTGTGGTGGGAGGGGGGGGGGGAAATCAATATATTTTACTTGTTGGAGTCTGTAACAATGTCTTGGTAGTCATCCAATGATTTAGAGGTCAAATCCAAGTGAAACTGGTACAAATTCTACAAGACTGCACTGTGTACCATCAGACACGATAGGCTACGAATCAACTCCTAGAATATCCCACTCAAAGAGAAAAA